GTCGTCGTCGTCGTGTGTGTGTGTGTGTGTGTGTGTGTGTGTGTGTGTGTGTGTGTGTGTATGTATACATATATATATATATATATGAAACAACACCACCCAAGACCCATTGCACAAGGATAATAAAAGTGTATGGATATCACGTTACCAATGCGGGCACATACCGTACAATCCGAGATGACAAGCTTCTCCAGTCCCACAGACGAGCTCTGCGCCTGCGCCTCGGAACCAGCACCCAGCACGCGGTTATTAACATTTAAAGACGCCCTTGCAATACCTTGTACCCCAATATCTGATACATTACAATCCTTGTATGTCTTTGCAAATGTCTTTGCCTGTGCACCGCCAGCGAGCGCAGTACTCGATCCATTGCTCTCATCACATATACCAAGTTCCATCCGCGGCTGTGCATCTGTACCCAGTCTATCCGCAGTATCTATCTGCAGCCGATTTCCCTCGGCTGAGCTGAGTTTCATACGCTTCCCTGCGCGTATCTCCAGCGACATCGTATCCGCACCCACGCGTCTCTCTCGGCCCTCTCTGTTAGTCGTCTGTGTGCTCTTCCACAATTCTCCTCCACAGCGCCGTTTGCCATCCGCGGCACACTCAGCAATGCATGTACGCCCAGCCGTCTGTGTGTTTGGTCCCGTATGCGTGGTTGGGATGGGGTGTGTATGTGTGTGTGAGGTTGCATCTACATTGCTATCCTTTCGTGACTTGACGTATGCGTCTGATTCCCTGGGTGTGTGTGCGTATTTGTAAGTCACCTCTGCGCCGTGCCTGGTGCACCCTCCCAACCCTTTGCTCTGTTTAGCTGGCCCACACTGTCTGTCTGACAATTTGTCGGACACGTTTTCTAAATAGCGATATGTGACTGAGCCGTGGCGGTGATGACAGTTGGACTGTCCGTGCGGATAATTCGATGTGTTTGATTTTTCGTGACGTGTCGCATGATCATTTAAGTTCTCAGATTTCGTATGTGTATGGGTTTCCCGGCGTGCCTCATTGTCTGATGTATTGCACGTGTTTGTGGTACAAGATGCTTGCGAGTCATGATGCACACAGGCACATGTGCCTGGAGGGTGGTCGGTGGCTTGAGTAATGTTCGGTACTTTTGTCAGCGGCTTCCTATGAGTCGCATTAACACACATTGCAATGGCTTTGGCAACGTCACCCCCCACTATGTGTAGATCTCGGAGTGAGATGCTCTTCAGACTTCCGACAACTGCAGAGAACGAAGGTGTATGGGAAACATGAGAAATAGCAAGATAGGGCAGTGATCACGTGTGTCTGTGGATACTGAAGAAGGTGTGTGAGATGCATGAGAAATAGCGAGATAAGG